GAATTCTAGAAACCTACCCCAGAGTACACTCAGCCACACCAGTGTATTTACACCGCCGCATTGGCTGTGCATTTCGGCACTTAGAAGCCTTGCGCAAGGCCTGTGCGACTGCGAGGCACATCCTCGCGGCTGAAGAATTTGCTAGCCAAGGCTTCCTGCATCGTGAAAACGTGCCTCAGATGGTCCCGAAACTCCTGCTGCTCCTCCGCCATACAGAGCACGAAGATCTGGTTCTTCTTCTTGTTGTCCAAACCTGCATCCATCATTCCTTGGAGCTCCTGCCGGGTCAAAGTAGTCCATTTGCAATCTGCAAGCCTCAGCAACTGCAAGAGGCCGCGGCAAACCTGCGTGTGATTGCCCATGAACCGCGGTGTCACGTACAGCTTCCGTTGCACACTCATGGCCCTGAAGTGCGCGACCGCCACGCCGCACGCACCTTGCGTGCGGACTAGCTCTGCAGTGCACACCACTGATCCGCGCAGGCTGGAGAGAAACTGCACATCCTCAGGCATTGCTCGGGGGTCTGCCAGAATTACCAAGTCAGCTTGCCACTGTTCGTTGACACATGGATTGCCAGGCAGTCTGAGTCCAGCTTGTCCGACGCTGGGGTGGACGAATACTTTCATTTCAGCGTTCCACACATCCTGCAGAAAAGGACATCCCGTGAAGCTGCATTCTTGCAAATTTTCGGTGGATTGCGATATAGGATACCAGACTCTGCACCCTCAACCCTAGACCCTAACGCCCTGTGCCCTCAACATTCAACCCTAAACCCTATCTATGCGGCTTGCAGGCCTACATCTGACATAGACGCAGAAGGTCCTGCTTGCAGAGTGTCCGCCGCTGCGCAAGTAGCTGCTGGTTGTTGCGCACACGCTGCGCTTTTTGCAGCTTGCCCTTGTGAGCTTCTGCTTCAATCTGCAAGTCTTCATTGATGCACCGGTCAGGCAAGTGGCCTTGCAGGTATGCTTCCAGCTTACGTTTCTGGAGCTTCTCACCGATGAAGCGCAGCTCTTTGCGGTGACCCTCCGCAAACACGTCGCTGATGGCATCCACCCCAATGGGCGCCACTCCGGGAGTGTCGGCATGCACCACGGCATCGGTGGCGTCCGCCCGCTTCTTCAGGAAGCCTGCCTCTCCAGTCTTCGGCGACCTGCGAATAAGGTTGCCCAATGAATCAGAAGTTGATGGTTGCGGGGTTTAGGTTGGGGTCCAGGTTTAGGCCTCAAAACGGGAGACTGACACAGAGTAGAAAGACTGTGTGCTTCATGTAGATAATCCCACTCTGGCCTGCACGAAATCCCTTTGTCCCACCGCTCGGCGCGCTTCTTCACGCCACTGGTGCGAACACGGCTGCAAGTCTCTCGCCAGACGCACGCGGCAGCTTCGCACAGCCGACTTTGCTCCTTGTCCGCCATCTTTGGGATAACGTCCTGGTTCAGGATGAGCACGTCTTCCTCTCGTGCGACGTGCTGATCCTGCGAGCACCCAGGGTTTTTGGCCTGCTGCGCCATGGAGAAACCCCGCTCCACACTCGAGGTAGACGATGACCAGCAGCCATACCGGGCCAGGACTGGCAACAAGGCTGTCGCTGGGTGGCTTGCCCTCTGCCTCGTTGTCACCTCCAGGGATCTCTTCCAGGCAGCGAAGTTACTGAGGCCCTCCTTCTTGGCCAACTTCGCCGCCAGAGGACGGAAGTCGTCGTACTCCATCCTCAGCGTTGGAAAATGCACGCCGATGGCCTTGGCCAAAACCTCCAGCATGGAGCTACAGTCGGGCGGCGTCTGTGAACCGTTCGCTAGGGAAAAGACCTTGAAATTGGCCATCAACTCGAACCCCGGAAATTCGGCCTCCCAGGTCTTGCGCGACAGCGTGCAGTACGCGCACATCCTCGCGAGGCAGTGCTCCAACATCGCAGGTGTCACTGCGTGTGGCCCTCCCCAGTTGACGGCTTGGCCGCTTGTAAGCAGCACAGATCGGGGCTCCTTCAACTTTCTCACCATCAGCTGCGTCAACCCAGGGATTTCAAGCACCTGCCGCTGCCTAAACAACCGGTCCAGCTTCTCATGGAAGTCCTCCAACTCTCGCGGAATTTCCGCTTCATCCAGATCGCTTCTGTCCAGACTGGCCACGATGCGGTATTGCTCCAGAGCGGCATCTCCTAACATGGAAAGTTGCAGAAGCCCTTCCGTTGTTATGGAAGCCAGGGTATCCCGAGCAGCTTGGCCTTCTGGTTTCCCGTTGCGGGTCTGTTGCACAGTCGTCAGAAGACCCACTACTGCATCAATTGTCAGGATGATGCGACACAGAGTCTGCGATTCGGAGGAATACCGCTGCGGGGCATAGGCAAAACTGTGCACGTGCTTAGACAGACTCACCTCTTCCTTGCTTCGCGCCCGCAGCTCCTCGTATGTTCGCTGGAAGCTCGGGAAGTGGGTGATCAGTTTGGCCGGGGAGTTCTTTTTCTCCACGAACTGATGCATGATAGATGCGATGACTGGGTCGCATTTCCATGGCCGCATCATCATCCTTTGCCGGTGTCTTGGGGGTTCGGGTGGGTAGATTCTTGAAGATTCTTGTTTCTGATCTATTAAACACCTATCATTTGAACATACTGGAAGAAATCCCTGAACCTTAAGCCCTATATGCCCTAAACCCAACACCCTACACCCTAAAGCCTAAACCCCCAGTCCTTTGGGCAGCGTGAGCCCTGTCGCGTAGGATGACCTGAAGGGACCCAGAGCGACATAAATCAAATGGCCGCAAAACTTGCTTTCCCCTGGCCTTCAAGTTCGGCAAATTCTGTTCGAGAACATTCTGCAAGGGCAAAGGATCAGGCCCCGCAAGCACTGGCACCGAGCTCAACTCTCGTCCAGCAACCTGCTCATCAGGGGCTGCGTCTGCAGCAAAAGCCTCCACCTTTTGCACGAGCTGGCGGTACAGCTCCTTGTCTATGGCAGGAATGCTTTGCGGGCTTGCGGCACTGTAGGTCGGAGGAGGCGGTCCAGTAGCCAGCTTTTCCAAGGCCAGCATCGTGCGCCTACGGATGCCGACAGAGCCTGGTTGCTCCACTGTGCCCGCATGTTTGGCCAATGACAATGTGCCCTCCAAAATCTCCAGCTCCGAATCTACCATCTTGAAACGTGACAGGAATCGATTTCCACGCGCATCCTGCTGGATGCTGATGCAAATAGAAGCCTTCGCAAAATCCCGCATGCGGCGTCTGAAAGCGGAGGCCAAACACCATCTCATCACGTTCAGCTTCTTTGCTCTAGCCACATTCTTGGGATCCTTGCTGTGGAGCACGTCCAGCCACTCTGCTTGGCTTGGGGCGGACTTGTCATCTTCTTCCATCGCCTTGCTGCGGCCGCCTTCCAAGAAACGC